GGTACCTAGTGTACGTGGCTTTTAAGTAGGTAGTGTAGCTATATAGCTCGTAGTTCGGTCGAATCTATCGCTTATAAGAGTAAAGTAATAGATTAGATAAAATAAGTGAGTAGTTAGAGGCTCGGGCTTATAACTATTAGGAATAGGAGGTAGGTTTTCTTTAGAAGTGGTGTTTCCCGATAGAAAGGGTCTTCGGTAGAAAATAGGTAGAAAGGTCTAATATATATATATAATAAAGAGGTATACAAAAGATAGGATTAAAGAGAGACGGTTCATAAGAAGGTACGTAGTCAGCTTAATTAACAAAGAAGAAGGGTTATGTTAAGTATACTCGAGAGTAGTTCTTATATTATAAAGAGATGTCAAACTTAATTTAATTTAGTTAGAAAACATAGTGATACTTATATCGCGGGGTATACGGCAGAATGATAAATAAAATAGAAGGAACATCCTTAGAGTGTTAAGTAGTCTCCTGCCTAGGTAGGCCATTGTATGTAAGTGTATGTAATTATATGTAAGATCGTTAAGGATCAATCTGATCGATCTCGTCGTCCGACGAGGAGGTTAAGTCATCTAATAAGGGGTAAGAAAAGTGGGTCCTTGGTCGTATCTCGACCGCATAAAGGGAAAGCCCCGCATTTGCCATTCAGATGCATTTCAATTTAGTATGCATCTACCATATATGCTGACAGTTAGGAATCTACGTAGCTTATATCGAGTACCGTTAAAGGTCTTAGCCTTTAGAAGCTTAGGTACTCCGACAGAAGTTACTAGTGCTAAAGCGACGACTTAAGTATAGAGTTGCTCTAAGTGGTCCTTTACGCTTACTATATAGTCGTTATAGTTTCCTCCGAGGAGGTTTAAGTTACTCTAAAGCTCCTTCACGATTGCCTTAAGATTTCGGATCTTATTATCTCGTTCGTCGTCGGAGTTAGGTTCGGTAACTAGTACCCTAGCGGGAATCTTTCCCTTCGAAGTACTATTATTACCTACTATAATAACTTTGCTTCACGGTTTAAAGATAGGGCGATTAATATATTACGCGGAGCCGACTAATCACTATAAGTTAGGATAACTTCGGGTTATACTTACCTAGTCCTAGCTACAGATTCTAAGAGTATCTCTTAATCGTACCGTTACTTCGCAAAGCCTTACTACGGGATAGATCCTATTAAGTGTCTTACAGAACGTACTAGAAGTGCGGGCTAAGTAAGTCAATCACTAAGTATTACTACTAAGTGAATCCCCTACTTATAGGTTAGGTTATCTTAAGGTAAACTATGAAGTGCAAAGTACTAAAGGTAATAACTAAGTAATAATATATAATAGAGTCCTAGTAAACTAAGTAATTAATCGCGAAGAACTAAATATATAGTGTGGAATAAGTGTCCTTATATATCTAGTTCCTCTAACCCTAGGCTATAATCGGGTCATGCCCTAAGTATAATCCGATCATATCGTGAGTATAGTCTTATTATAGCTTAGTTATGATCCCGTAACGCTCTAATTATATCCGGGCTATGTTCTGTAGTCACGTGATCCGTCGTGTCCTTATAACGTGATATTTCTCAACCGTTACGTTCGTCCAACCTTCTGCCTTGCTGACTGTTCTAAGTTGATTGGTTGTCAATGTCTCCTTCCCCCGCATTAGCGTGTTGTGCCTGATAACTTCGTAACACTACAGAGTAGAGCGGGGTATATCGTATAGCTTAGCTGCCGCGCGAATAGATTGGATACGGCCTTCTTTTAGATCAGATATAGCCAATAAGATCTTGCCCTCTTGATTGGCTAATTTCTGCCGAGATTCAGAGCGATTTGGTGGCATGGTAGGTTGTTGAAGTTAGTAGGTTAGTGGGAAGACGCGATTTTGGATGGGGTGGCCGGCTCGGTCGGGTGGCCGGCTCGCTTATCCAATACGTTAGCGGCTGGTAAAATATAAGGGGTGATTCTGCGGGCACTACCCTAACATTCTGCTCGCACTACCTGGCAGCCTGCCATGACATGTTTGTGCCTGATTTCTGCTACGCGTTTCACGGCTTTTTATTACAATTCTGAACACCTCCATCCACATTTCCATCATGTAAATTGACCAAAACACTTGCAAGGTCAGCGGGGATTTGCCCTAGATCAGCACCAAATTTACTTTCGGCAGGCGCCGCCTTACCTCTGGTTTCTGACTCCCTTTGCAAAGAATTTGAGCTTAGACGGTAGTACGGCAGGGTCCAAAAGCTGAACCACTCAGTTTGCAATGGCGCTGCAAATGGCTTCTGTGGCAGCATCTCCTTCAGCCAACGACAGACACCAGATTAGTTGACAGGCCTGTAATGTGACGAGTGATGGTTCCATCGCCTGAATATGGAATCGGTGTTTAGGAGCCCGGCTCCATTCCCGGCCCCTAAGTATTTCTATTTTCTTTCAAGTATAGATGCCCAGAAGATCTTTGAACGATTCAGATGTGCTCAGGCACAAAAGTGATACATGTGTCAGCAAGCAACCAGTGCGAAAATCGCCAGAAGAGTTAGTTGCGAAACTCTCCCCTTCTCAAATCCTCCGAGAAATGTTTTTTGATGAAAAGAGCCTTGTGGGTATCGTTCAAGGTGGATGAATAGATGATAAGGTCTTCGCGGGCTTCCTGTGGGGGAAGTTCAGATGTCTCGGATGCGGTACCGGCTTCCTCTAGGAACCTAGCTAGCTCCAGGAATTTTTTGTGGGCTGGAATATGCAATGTTCTCAGTGTGCTAAGTGTCGTGAAGCAGACCGAGACCGCCGGTACCTTTATGGCTCCGCAGCAACGTAAGTGCTGTGGTTGTTGGCAAAAGGACAATCTATTTCCTGTTCAATTTCAGGGGCTTTCGATAGTTCCATGAATAAAATGATCTCCAGCATAGGCGTAATAAAATCAACAGACGTGGTCTTTGTGTGACTCAAGTAACAGTGAGAGCAGGTATATGATGGCTTCTCGTCAGTTAGGGGACCCCGCATTGACTTTGAGAGCAAAGCCGATTATCTTTTCTCTGTAGGACAAATATAGAAGGACTACTAGAAACGGTAATGTGGGTCTTGGTCAGGACAACCGCCGATTAGTCTCATAGTATTACGAAATACGGATAGATAACTATGCGTCGGCTTCACCGGCTCATTAACATTGGCATCCACACTTACTGTTGCACCTGGAGTATTCGTTTCGTGGCTAATTCAATATCCAGTAGAAACTAATTGGAACAAATTACACAAGTTAAATTTCCAGCGGTACATAAATTGGGGGGGGGGGGGGGGAACTTAGTCGATCGACTGAGGAAGCAGGTACTTTAGCAGCCGCCTAGATCGATGCTTGACCGTTTCAGATAAAATCATCATTTTATATTGTCACTGAAAGGGATTTATCTTTTTTAAACTCGAATTGATTACAGAAAATCGGTCCATTCGTGTAGTCCCTCCTACTTTCGTCATTGTACTTCCGCAGCTACTCTCAGATATCTATCCCGGAAAACACCGATGATTTCGGGTTTCTAGTCACAGTATCTAGGAAAAATTATCAATAATTATCATCCATCCTGTTTTATTGGGCATGGTGGTGCTATAGTTCCTCCTGGACTTTGTACGTCTAGCTTCAGGCAAAAGCACTTCAAAAAACTCCAGTGAAGTCGTGTCCCGCATCGAGGTATAGATTATTCAACTCTTCAATTGGCATCCTTACTTATGGCCAAGTGATACGCAAAGCGAAAATTAGGTGATGAAACTATTTGAAGGTCTAGCGCTAAATGCCTCTCCACTATTTCCGCGAACGCGAAACAAGCCGCAATAGAGGGGTATAGTGCGCGATCTTTGCAGCATTTCAATGGCTGGTCATATTCTGCAGATTTACCTATTGAGTAGTAGTAACATACTTGGTTGGGTCTCACAGAAATCGGCTGGCCTTGCAGCAAGCACAAGCGGGTGGGGTGGAAATCCCAGTTGTCGTAAACTGAGTATGATCAGATATTCTCAAAATGAGGAATATGAGGTACATTCAAACTGGACCTTTGTTGGCCATCTTGAACAACAAGCGGTATATAAATCATGGCATCTGGGCCGCTTCATCCGTAATTTGTTCTACTTGCAGCTCTCAACTTTTTTCCTTCTCTTCGATATAACTCTTGGCTCGCTGCCATATCTCTACTATCATGTCTGTTCAAGATGGTGCTCGTTTTGACTTTATCGTCGTTGGTGGCGGTACTGCAGGCAACATAGTTGCCGCTCGGCTGGCTGAGAACCCCGCGGTTCGCGTTCTCGTTGTCGAGGCCGGTATTGGCAGTTCTAAAGATAATGAAGAGATCCGAACCCCCGGACTCGCTATGGACCTTCGGGGATCGCGACATGACTGGGCCTTCAAAACAACTATGGTCAAGCGTGATGACTATGAGCGTATTGAGAAGCCCAACACCCGTGGTAAAGCCTTGGGTGGTAGCTCATCGTTGAATTACTTCTCCTGGGTTCCTGGCTCTAAGGGCACCTTTGACTTGTGGGAGAAGTATGGTGGAAAGGAATGGACCTGGAACCCGCTTGTCCACTACCTTCGCAAGAGTGTCACGTACCATGATGACGCCGGCTTGTACTCCCCTGAACTGAAGAAAATTGGCTCTGGGGGCCCTATTCCAATTGCGCACGCCGAGCTGATTCCTGAGATGGAGGGCTTCCGTGAGTTACTCACAAAGGCCTGGAAGTCTACTGGAGAGCCCGTCACCGAGAATATCTTTGACGGTGAAATGCGTGGTCTTGTGCATAGTGTTAACACTATATATAAGGGTCGCCGCTCTGGCAGTTTCCTAGCGCTTGATGGGAAGCCGAATATCACCGTTGTGCCCGAGGTCTTCTCTAAGTCTCTTATCATTGATAATGCCGACAAGACTGCTCGGGGTATTACTGTGATTACCTCTTCTGGCCAAGAGCTGAACTTCTATGCTGAGCGCGAAGTGATTGTGTCCCAAGGCGTGTTCGAGACCCCCAAGCTTCTTATGTTAAGTGGCATTGGGCCGGCTCAAGAATTAAGCAAGCATAACATTCCTGTTATTGTCGATTCTCCTCATGTCGGCCAACACCTACTTGACCACCCAGGTGTTCCATTCGTCCTCCGTCTTAAGGATGAATTCTCAATGGACAGCCATATCTTGCGTAAGGGTCCCCTGCAAGATAAGGTCCTAGCCACCTACTCGAAGGGTCATACCGGTCCTATGGCCTCTCCCTTCCTTGAAATGATTGGTTTCCCTCGAATTGACAAATACCTCGAAACGTCGCCGGAATATCGCCAGGCTAAGGCTGCCAACAACAATCTTGACCCATTCTGTCCTCAGGGTCAGCCTCATTTCGAGCTTGACTTCATCCCTCTATTTGGTAGTGCGTTCCAGTGGCACTTCCCCCACCCCCGAAAGGGTAGCTACATGACTGTCATGGTTGACCTCGTTCGACCCGTCTCCGAGGGAGGAGAAGTGACACTCAACAGCGCTGATCCTCTTGCGCAAGCCAATATCAACCTGAATTATTTCAGCAATGACCTTGACATCATCGCTATTCGAGAGGGCATCCGATTTGCCTACGATGTCCTGAAGAACGGAGAAGGATTTAAGGATATCGTTATGGAGGAGTATCCCTGGGACATGCCACTGGATGATGATGAGGCCATGAAGAGAACCGTTCTCGATCGCTCTCAGACTTCCTTCCACCCTTGTGGTACAGCCCGTCTGTCCAAGGATATCCAACAAGGCGTCGTTGATGCCGGTCTCAAAGTGCATGGCATTCGCAACCTCCGTGTTATTGATGCTTCCGTCATCCCGGAGATTCCGGATTGCCGTATCCAGAACTCCGTGTATATGGTCGCTGAAAAGGGGTCTGATGCCATCAAGAGTGACCACCAGGATCTTTACCGGTAAACCAAGGTTGGAGAATTTGGTGATGAAACGTAACAGTGCCCTCAATATAGCTTGTCATTCCCAACAACTTGCATCTTGTGATCCAGTCCAATTTCCCAGCCCTGTCATTGTTCACACGCCGTTCTATTTTCACCACCCATTCACCACCCACTAGTTGAAAAGGCACGAGGTCAGCCTACAATTTATTTCTATGTCGAATCCCATTCTCATGCACTTTCCTCGGTCAGCTGCAGAGAATCAGTCACTCATTTCGCTCAAGAGTTTAGTACAAATTCTTTTGTTTTCATTCATTCCCACAAAGGTGCAAGCCTTGCGACATAGAGAGGCATCATTCATCGAATTATTCTCGGAATTTTCAGTCAGATTACTGAGATTCTAGTCGGTATAGATAGTACTCTTCATTTGTCAGATCGCTTGCGAGAAGACTCGTAACTATTGTAAGTCGAGCACAACCCTTCCTCGCAGTTTCCCCTCATGCATGTCTTGGAAGACTTTTGTCAATGAACCTGTCTTTTCAACGCGTACATGAGCCTTTATAATCCCGCGAGCTGCAAAGTCAAGTACTTCGAGGACATCTTGACGATTGCCAACGGCCGACCCGATGATTTTGCATTGTTTGGAAATTATCTCGGCAGGACAGGCTGAGGCAATAGGTTTCGTTCCTTGATCTGGCAAACCAACGCAGATCAGAGTCCCGTTGAAACGCAGCAAGCGCAGGGCCTGAGCATAAGCTTCGTCGGAAGAAGTGCAGACAATTGCACCATGTGCACCAAGTCCGCCGGTCAGTGTCGCAAAGTGGGAGGGAAGAGCAGTTTCTTCAACATCTTTGGAAAACTGGGTGATGTCCACAAAGTGCTCTGCGCCGTACGAGAGAACAAGCTCTGCCTTGCTCGGGTGATCGATGCCAATCACACGCAAGCCCATGCCCCGGCTGGCGAGCTGCACTCCCAGATGACCAAGTCCACCACCAGCACCGACAATCACCATCCACTGCCCTGGTCGAATGTCACTGCGTTTCAGGGCAGCATATATAGTAGTCCCTGCGCACAGAATAGGGGCTGCCTCGGCTGAATTGAGTCTCAGGGATAGGCGACACATAGTTTGCTGGACCAACCACATATTGCTGGAACGTCCCCCGGGGTGTAATATCCAGAGATTCTCTGGTTAAAACAGAGGCCGTCTGATCCGGCTTGACAAGGTTCTACATTAGATGAAACAATCAGATACGACGGCAAACAAAAGACCAAATGAAAGGAAAAGAGGCGAACCGCAACTGCCGCAAATGCTGGACAACCACTTGACTCCAACACGGTCTCCAATCTTCACTCCAGATTCATCGGCTCCGGAGCCAAGCTTGAAGATGTGACCAACACCTTCATTTTTTTATTTTTGGCCCTTCGGTGTTGGGGCAGGCAGCGTGCTCCACTGCAGCAAAGTCAGTGAATAACAGAGACCACAGTTTGTTATACAGTTCAGCGGGGTAAGTATTGGGGACGAACATACTGAATTCATCATGACTCCAAAATCAAAATGGCACACGCCCGAGTGAGTACTGTATATCACCATCAAAAACGTGCTGCAATCATGGAAGAAGGTTCTGACCGTACAGATGGATGAGGACTTCTCCAGGACCCGGTTCAGGTACTAATAGCCCAATAACCTGGGTTGATAGCGTGCCGGGTTCATCATAGATGATTGCCTTTTGGACGGACGGTATTTCCATTGCGTCTTGTCTGTATCTTGTGACTCAGTATGAGCTGCTTGACGTTCTCCGAGGCTGCAGTCGACTTCGAGGGTCCTCCAACTTTATATAGCATGGCTTGTGATAAATTTCGGCAACCCGGTGAGTAATGAACCATCGACGCCTACCATGCAGCTAGAAATTAAGAATGCAATTTTGAAGCGTGTTGCATGAAGCCCCTCTATGGTACCCAAGGCTGGACTTAGCCGTGGGCGACGGACGATCATCTTCCGATACCATAGACCAATACCCGGAAGGCGTTTAGATAGTTGTGAATCGAATCCGGCCGTAGAGTTGATTAGATAACCGATTAAGACGGGTTTAACGTATCTAGGCAACAGGACGGAGGTCCGCTGGCCCGTTCGGATCATTCTAACTTCTATCCGATTCGCGGTAATTCGCCTGCCCTTGGTCGTCAGGGGTTTAAAACTGCCATCGGTCTTTACGGTTCTGAGAACAACGTAGTACTGACAGTTGGCCCATTATCACCTTGCCAGCTAGCTCTGGAATGTTGACGATACGGTGTTCTATAAAATTGAAAACACGCGTCCAAGCGGGACACCACACTTTCGAAATGTCATAACGTTCCGCCAGGCAGATTCCGGATTATTCATGACGCGATAGGGAAAGGCTTGGCTATTTCAAGAATGTCAACTGTGCCGTATCTGTTGTACACAAAATTAATAAGTGGTGATGGCGGTGAGATAGGTGCCTCCAGAGTGTGTTGAAAACTTAATGATTAAGATACGCGGTACGAAAAACCTGTTATTGTATTTACAGGTTGATCACGTAGGAGCCGATGACTAATAATATGGTAAATAGGACGCTTAACTATTTGTGAAACCCAAAATCCCCACATCGTGGCAAGGCGATCAACTACGGATCTCCCCCGCTTCCAGCATGTTCATTTTGAGTTTATTGTCGGCTAGTTATATTCCGCTTCCCCGCCTCCAGGTCTTATCTAGCCGTCCCATCTTCCCCTCGACTGCCTTCAGGAATCAGCAACTCAAGCTATGTCGCCTGTTTCTGGGGAAAGGCAGTTAGATTTCCTCGGCAAAGGGTGAGGCTACCCTACCCTCGTTCAAGGTCTGGATGCCTCGTTTGCCGACGTCAACACAAGAAATGTGATGAGCGTCGTCCGGCATGTTCTCGTTGTTTGGCAAAGGGAAAGGATTGCCAATGGCCAGTTACTGTTCGGCGGGAGGCCGATTTCGAAAAATTGCCGTCCGTCCATGACGCTGTGTCTCCAGTACGGGAAGCCCTTTCTGATCCAAGCCCCTGCAGGGAGGAGCTGCTGTCCTCGACCTCCACATCAAACGATCTTGTACAAATTGAGGATGAGGTCTTGCGTTTGCTTGCGCCGCCGGGTTGCTCCTTGGGCTCTGTGTCCTCCATGTTTCTAGCCCACTTCCTCGGCGAGACCAGCAGATACATGATTACCGTGAGCCCGGAGAAGAATCCGTTCCTGACGCACATTCTTCCCATGGTCTCTCCGAGGAGTTGATACTGCATTCATTGCTAGCTCTTGGCGGGGCCCACTTGGAAAGTAGACGGTCCTCTCCCGAGATCAATACATGGGTATGCCGACACTATGGACGAACCATACATCTACTACAGAACACCATTTCGCGAAACGAGACAATTGACTGGCTGCAAGCTTCTCTTGCTCTGTTGATGTTGTATCTCTTTGGAGTATGTTCACCGCCTCGTACTTGATAAAACCCCTCCGAAACTCTTACTACACATGTAACAACGGTAGACTGGCGCTTATTTTTATATTGAGGCTTGATATGACAGACCTGACTCTTATTCACTAGGTTTCCAACTCCATGCAATCTGGAGGTGCAATTCTCCACATACGAGCCGGAAAGAAAGTTATCCCAAAACTGTTGAGTGCTTCGTCGAAAACGAGTAGTTTGCGAACAATATGCGGTATAACAATCGAGTTATAAATCTACCTGTCCCTTATAACCACTCCTACACCCTATGATAATGGGACCTCATCCGAGATGGATACTCGCAACTCTCTTCTTCTTCCCTGGGAGCTCCTTGAAGATCTCGAAAGTTTCCGCGTCATCATTTCCCCAATACACCGATGCTTGGAGATTATTCCGCATGTGGTCGCCCTCTGCACACGCCGCCAATCAGAGTTGACCTTCAACGAATGTTCTTCGGAAAGCTTGATACTTTTCACTGAGCTTATGGCCATCATTGATACTATTGGCTTTGGAGAAGACCTCGGATCCGCGCTAAATAGCGAAGCCCCCCAAAGTCTCTCGATCGCGGCAGTTTACCGTCATGCCTTGACAATTTTTGCATACGATGCTATGTGGTGTGGTACTATCGCCGGTGACGAGTCTCGTCTATCGATCGTTCGTCAGCATGCTCTTATTTATTTGTGATTTTTGACGCACTTTCTTTCGCCCATTGAGCAGGTAGATCAGCGTCATTAGAATTTCTTTGCCTCATGGCTATCGGAGCAAGTGATTCGATTTTAGAGTTGGACTTTGCGCTGGCTGGCGGTGCTCACAAGTCCTTGGATGTTGAATTTCAGGGATCTAGCTCTTTGGGTCATCATTTAAAACCTTAATATATGAATACAGAGTCTGTCTCAGATATTTTGAATTTGCTTGCAGGGCCGAGGAACCTCGGTTCTTTCATCGCCGGAGACAAAGAAAAATATCCTGGGGCCTGAATGGCCCACACTTTGACCGATGGTCCGTTTGATTTGGACCCAAGTTTCAGTCCTTTCTAGATTGCCAGGAATCATCTCAGGCCCACCAACCTTGCGTCTAGATAGTATGCGGGTGTCAATGGTGATGAAGGGGCTGCGAGTTCCAAGTAGGTGGCGAGTGAGCAGGATTGCAGTGGGGCGATCTGTTTCGGAGTACTTGTGAGGAGTAGGATCGAGCGGCTAGATAAGCGATGATAGCCGTCACCGCAAGGAAGCTTATACGGGCGGGTTATCATCCGTGTTTGGAAGAACAATCAAAAAGTCAATACTTTGTAATGTTTATCTCTAGTCAATAAGTGCACTTTCACTTATATATACCGTGATCAAACCCAACGAATATGTGATTACGCTGTTTTTGTTCAATATAGTTTGATTGCCACTATTGAGGTCAAGGTATACGCGGCGATGATTAGTCTACAACAATTGTCATTCTCGATCGCCCTCGAGGCTGTTTTTCTCATTTATGTTGCTCGATGGGTCCTGACCTCATTGATGCATTCCCGCCGTGCTCGGCAAATGGGTTGTAAGCCCGCATTTATCCGACCGAGTAGGCTCCCGCTGGGTATCGATCTTGTGAAACGATATATGGATACGATGGAGGAGCAGATCCTTCAAAATGATGATCTGGTGCTATACGAAGAGTTGGACCAGCGCCCAACTTGGAATCAAAATCTCCTTGGTACTTGGCACCATATCACATCAGATCCAAAGAATGTGCAGGCTATGCTTGCGACGCAGTTCAAGGATTTCGAGCTTGGCCCTTTCCGGCGTAATATGTTCAACCCGGTCATTGGGAAGGGCATCTTTACAACCGATGGGCCAGATTGGTATGTTACAAATTGATGATCTCAGAGGTTATAATTATTCATGTTGGAAAATAGGCAACACTCTCGCTCTCTTCTTCGCCCACAATTCACCCGGGGCCAAGTTGCCAATCTGCGGCTGGAAGAACAACACTTCCAGCACCTTCTCAATCGTCTCCCAATTCAGTCCGACTCATGGACCGACACTGTGGATTTGGCGCCCTTATTTTTAATCTGACTCTTGATTCTGCAACCGAATTTCTCTTTGGACAGAGTGTGAATTCTCAGATTACTTCATCGAAGAAAGCTCAGGGCCTCAAGCCTGGGGTTTCTACAAAAGATGTTCTACCCGACGGATACTCTTTTGGTCAGGCGTTTGACCGAGCCAATGGAGTGGTCGCGTACCGAAGTAGGCTAATGAGTCTTTCCTTCCTCTACAATCCTGCACAATTTCGCAAAGACTGTGCAGAAATCCAAAATTTCGCTCGGTATTATGTCAACCTTGCTCTTACTGGCGCTCTGCGGTCCGGGGAGAATAATTTTGTTCCAGGGGATCAAAATGACTCTGGATAAGTGTTTCTCCAGGAACTTGCCAAGGAAACACAAGATCCAGACGAGCTTCGTTCCCAGCTTCTCAACATTTTACTGGCCGGTAGAGACACTACTGCAGGTCTTTTAGGATGGACGTTTCATCTACTCTCACGTCAGGTGCATGTTTACGAAAAGCTACGTACGGTTGTCATTGACACATTTGGGGAATTTTCCAGTTCCAACACTATTACTTTCCCCTGAAGTCATGTTCCTATCTGCAGCACGTTTTGTCTGAAGTTCTGCGACTTCACCCGGTTGTTCCTGAGAATGGCCGCCGCGCGGTCCGGAACACTACACTCCCTCGTGGAGGCGGCCCAGATGGTACATCGCCGATCTATATCCCCGCCGGAGAGGATGTTGACTACAATGTACATGTTATGCACCGCCGGAAGGATATCTGGGGTGATGATGCCAATCAGTTTCGTCCTGAACGGTGGACGGGACGCAAACCGGGATGGGAATACTTGCCCTTTAATGGTGGGCCGAGGATCTGCTTGGGGCAGCAATCTGCCCTGACCGAGGCGGGATATGTGGTCGTGCGGATGCTTCAGCGATTTGACAAAGTGGAAAACATGGTCATGTCAACCGTGGTCAAACATAAATACACCATGACCACTTCCCCTGTTCAGGTCCTCGTGCGGCTACATGGCAGTTCCTAATGGATAGTCGATAGGTGCCCCTGGGTAAATTGACCATGCTTTTTCATATTTCTAAAATCAAGTTTCCAGGTCTGGAATAGAAAACCCTACGCTGGAATCCTTGAGATTCACAAAGACCACCAAGCCCTACCTAGACGATTGGAAATATACTAGTCTGTAGAACGCGAACGTATACAGCGAAAATATAAAATGAATGCCATTAATTCACTGCCCAAAAGAAGATCCATGAGGGAATGCGGTCAAGGAGCAAGTTGGGGTCTTTGGTGTAACGACGTATTTGATTTACCATACTAGAACCTAAACGTTACTTACATACGTACTGTACCTGCATACAACACAGTATTACCAAAGAGAATAGGTGGCATGCATGTAACTGTGCTAGATGACCCCACGTTTTCACATCTGAACGTACGTTATTGAGGACGTTGAGACTATGCCTTATCCCACCTGCACTCCTTTTTGAATCGGCAGGTAATATACTCCTATTTTCTTGATAATGTAACCTGTGAGCGCTGCCTGACTGGGCTTGTTCACGACTGAGATCAACAGGGATCAAGTTTAATTGGCAGAATTACATGAAATTTCTTCAAGCAAACATGCATAACAAGACTACCATTGCAACTGTGACCAGAGAGAACGCCGGTATTGAAGATAATAATGAAAGCCTCACAGCTCGGGACATTGTCCGCCTCGGCATTGTTGTGTTTCTCGGGGCCCGAGGGCACCGAACTTAAAGCTACCTTGTTTCGGGCGGGGTAGTACTATCGGATCAGTGCCTAGTCCCGTGGGCGCCACAAAGTTTATGGCCACTTAGAGAAGAGCAAGGAAATTCGACTCTTTGATAATGACTTCACCCGGGGTCGATCACCTTCTAGAATTCAAGGAGCCGATGAATTAGAAAAAATGTGCTAATTCAGCAGGTTTTGCGTAGACTTGGTTCCCACCTCACTCTTATCGTCCCTCTATAGCGGGTGAGGAGTAGGCCTCTGCACGGGACCGGAAAGACCGCACCCAAGACCACATTAGACCGCACCGCGCGGTCTTTGGTCCCAGACCTTGAGACCGCTAGGCGGTCCTACATTTTTAGGGACCGCACCACTGCGGTTTAGTGCGGTCCTGCGGTCCTGTAAAGAAGCAAAACATCTTAAACCCTAAGGTATGCATAATTTATGTAGAAGTCGCCTATATTTTTGAGTATTCTGCTTTCAAATGATATTTAATTTTATATAATTCTAAGGTAGGAGTAAAGAATAATTCTTTGTTTAGTGTCTGTTAATTTCTAACGAAAAAGCGAGGATTAATTAATTACCTTATAAATAGCTTTTGTGGTTCTTGTTTCTATTAAAGATATACAAAATTCTCATCCTATCTTAAGCGCTTTAGAACACGCCCAGATAAACGCCTCTAAGTAGTCCTCCCTTCTTCCAAATGGCTATTATCAGGTAGGGGAACCTTATCATCATCGTCAAGTTCAAATAGCTAATCCGAGGTAGCCCTTCTCTTTCTAAGCGCTCGCGCACTAGGAAGTTAGATAGTTTCGGCAGAATCTTTAGTAGTAGATAGGTCTTCCTCGTCATCACTAATTAGATTAAATTATTGCTCTTTCTTCTAGGCGTCCTTCTACTCTTTCTTTACTTGCTTCTCTTACGTAGAAAGATACTCATCAACCAGGGTAAGCTGCTCGGACTCTACGTCGAATTTTGTTGTATATATAAATAACATTAATTCCTTAATTATCTACGGTTTTAGTGAGCCCCGGCGATAATAGTAGATATCACGCGTAGAGTTAAATAACCGCTTAACGCCAGAACCACTAACTAGTGTTATAAGGACGTCTCGGGTAAGGCTTACCAGAATAGGATATTCATTTTAGTGTTCTTTCCAGAAAACGAGAGGGGTTACTTCGACAGTACCTAGTGAGGTTAGTATAAGAGAAGGAGTATATAAGAAGAGGTATATAGATTAACTTACTACTTCTAAGATACCGTATAATCTCATCTAGAGCCATTACGTTTAACTAAAGAGATATAGTAGGTCTCAGAAGGATATTAATATTAGAGATATCTTAACTTATAGGCTAGAGAGTTAATATAGACTATACCTCTTCGTAGCGCTACCGGTAAGGCTAAATATAAGCCTCTAGCGACTACTTATAGCGAGGCCCCTAGTAAGGTTCCTATTTAGATATTATAAAGAACTCTAGTTTGTTCCGT